GGAAAGAAAAAAATACCACCCACAAAGTCCAAGAAATGAAAAATCCATTTTAACATTCAAAAATTTCTTGAATCCCTACCAAAAGCCTTAAGTAATTTTAGTGTCCATGGACTGTGAGAAGACAAAAAAACAAAACATTCCTGGGTTCTTAACACATTTAATCTATTGGCGTTTTGTTAATCACAGCAAATGGTATATCTATAAAGAACTGAAATACTGTCCACAAATTATTCAGGCTATTAAGGTTTGGGTCACATCCAGATCTGCAGACTGTCCCCAGCAATAAACTCCAATAAGCGCTGATTTGGACCAGTATCACTTATTACAAGAAACATTATGTTACCACAAACAGTGATAAAACACTCCTTGGTGAGGCACTGTCACTTATTATCATTAATACTGGAGTCATGATCTCCCGACACTGGATTCGTGCCAGACCACAATGAGTCAAAGAGCATGCACCTGACTATAAATCAGCACCCTGCTTCCTTCGTCGAGAAAGTCTTCGCCAAAAAATGTCTGCAAACCTAAACAGTGTGCTCAGAAGGCTGGGATTGAGGCGCAGCAGCAGTGGTGGCAGAAATTAAAGATAAGGCAGTGTGCACAAGGAGTAAAAGGAGAAGCAGGTAGGGCCCTAGCTGTCGCTTTCTGTACCCGAGCTTGGGTACATCAATCATCATAGATTTTCAAGAAGCCAGCAAAGGTCCTCTAGGGGAACCACCATTTATTAAAGGCCTACTCTATGGTAGGCATTGGGCTGGGTACTTGAACTTAAATGCAAATGTAGTTAATTGTTAGGACTCATGCATTTCCTCTGATCTGGCTGAATTTTTGTGATAAGGGAAATATGGAGCTTGGCCAATTTTAAAATCTCACTAATTTCCAAGATTTTCAGAGTTTACAAAATGTTCATGATTTGCAAGTAGGACTATATTAGTAAAAAGTGCTTTAAGACATGAAGAAAATACTTAAAATTTTAAAAAGGTCAACAAAATCTTCTGGCATGAGCAAAATCAAAGTTGTAAGAAAAAAATTTTTTAAAAACCAAAGCTATGCCATGCCTCTAAATACACTTTACTTGTTCATATTGGTGAAATTCTCAAACTCACCATTCCATCTTGTATCTCACTCTCTGAGAAACCGCAAAATGATTCACTGTCAGAGTCGGCATGAAAAATACTAGCCAGTTCGTTAGTGACATCTGGCCTTGGTTTCTGTAAAAATCCACAATGGTCTAACACATCTTGCACCTCACTTTCTGAAAAGCCGCAGAAAGATTCATCATCAGAGTCCTCATAAAAAACATTTGCCAGTTCTTCACTGATATCTGACCTGAATTTAGGTTTCTGTAAAATAAATAAATAAATGTGGTTGTGCATTTTTTTTCTTTCTCAAGAACCAATTTTCCATAAACCGTGCAGAGAGCAAATCACATTTACAAGTGCACTACAAGAGAATAGCTTTTGTTACAAAGAAAAATGGTTCAGAGGTTTACAAATGACTTCTGAGTTGTTATGGCAAATCATCATGCATGTTAGGTTAGGCGACATTTCAAAAGGATAGAATAAGTAGCTAATCTACCTCCAACAATTACTACCTAGAACCACAGCAAAAAGCGAAATGAAATTACAGTGCATGCTGTATTTTCATAGCAGCTGTATAGAAATGTAGGCAAAAAGCAAGCAGTTTTAATCATGCACAAAGCATTTGGGGCATTTTGAGCACTGCAGAACTCAATTCTGTTTATTCTTAGGCAGCATTTACCGTGTTTGCAAAATTATCAGAAGCAAAGCTGTCACAACTGTCATCAGAGGATGACGAGGTTTCCATGGAAATCAGCTTCACATATCTGAATTTTTTGAAGTTCTTCTTTACTCCAGGATCCTTTTGCTACAAATGGAAATGGCAATAATATTAAGTGAGATGCTTGCTTTATTTAACTAAAGATAGGATTTTTGAGTTTAGTAGTTCAGACAGCACAGAATAGCTATGTCCATTTCTCATAGCCTATACAGAAAAAAAGAAAGGATTTACAATTGCTGCAAGACATTTTCAAAACCAGGCCAAGTCTTAAGAGATCCCTTTGGAGGAAAATGCCACTAACATTTACCAATTTACTCACACATCTGCAGAGCTACCTCCCTAGTCACCTTAAGAGCCCCTAAGCTTTTAGCATTATATTGAGCACCATACAAGTTTTTAATGTTGAACTCCTAAGATCCAATCTTTTTTTTTTTTTTTCCTTCAGTTTTTGGCTAGGGCTGGGCTTGAACCCACCACCTCCGGTATGTGGGGCTGGTGTCCTACTCCTTGAGCCAGAGGCGCAGCCTTTAAGATCTAATCTTTATAAAAAATTAAACTGTACTTCTGAAAGGAAATTTCAAAAGAACAAAATGGCAGAGCGATTTTTTTCTCCCACAGCCAAAATCAAGTATTTTTATATACGTTTTAGGCTATGTCCTGGGATGTTCATTTCCCAAACTACAAAATGTGGGCTGGACCTCTACTTCAAGATGGCAGGCTTCCAAACAACCTCTGTTCCAAGGAGGAAGGATATAGTTTTTCCACACAAGTCCTTACCAAATCAAATCAGTCAACCCAAGGTCAAACACCACTCTAAACCAAGATGGGATGTGTGATTCCGTGTTAGCACCTTAGGGTGACATTCAGCTCTTTCTGCCATCCTTTCTGCCAGAATCTGACATTCCTGCTACACGAAGACTGAACAGTTTAAAAGTCCTTTCATAAGGTGCAAATGACTTGCAGATACAGAAATGCTTCACTCATTCCTAACACTGAACAGCTCTGCACTGATAATCACCAAATGCACTTGGCACCTATCTTGTGTGAAAAGAATTAACAGTTTCTGCTATTCATTTCTTAACATTTAATGAGATTTCTTAAGAGTTACATTAGTTCCTATATCTTTATTTTCTTATATAAGGCCATGGAATAACATGTGATTTATTACACTGAAAAACTTCTCAAGGGGCATTCTCTGCTACATTTCCCAAAAAATGCTTCAATGCTTCAACGTCAGGTAAACAGAAACATTCTCCCCTTCCTTCTTTGCTTAACACTCCACATTCCAATCTCTTGCAAATAATTATTTTCATGATGATGGCCTCCAACCTCCTTGTGCCCCTAAGTAGACTCCATTCATCCCATCATCTTAAGAAGTTTTGTCTTCTGTCCTTTGAGGAAAGCAGGAAGATGTGAAAATAGGTAGAATTACTAAATATAGAGGTTATAGGTAGATACATGGGACACAATACATGTTAGGAGCCGAAAGGGCTCTCTCTGAGAAGCTCACTACCCCCCATTTTACAGATGAGAAAATTCGAGGCCCCAGGGAGGTGTAATAGACTGTGCAAGATCACAGGGCTGGACAGAAGTGCAATCCTCTAAAACACCACTGCTCCTTGTATTACTGCAGGAATCAGAGCCATGCACTCATGAATCTACCTGCAAGCACGAGGGCCAAGACCGCCTCAAGGGAGGCATTCTTTTGGCAGACGTCAGGGAACATGTGCTGAGCTTTAACAAGTTAGCACCTGCCAAGAAGTTATTTACCACGCAGATACATCTTTGGAGGAAAAGACAGAAAAAAAACAAAAGTAAATGGTCATGACCATTTTTTTTTAATGGCAGGGCAAATAACTAATACCATTTTATATCAGGTGTTTTTCGTGCCAACCACTATGTTCAGAATGCTTTCCCTTCAGCCTTTATTCTACCAAAGGTGCCATCATGGCTCTTAACCTTAACAAGTAAGTGTGGCTTAGAGATGTAAAATGGATCACTCATTTTCCCCGGTGGCTCAAATTTAAACCCAGGGACGTCATTCCAGGCCCAGCAACGCTTGGCTTTTCTTCCTCCTGAGAACCAATGCCCAGTTCCACCCTGGCGGCCACTGGACCCATACCACGCCCCACCCCCCCCACAGAGCCCCCGCCTGATATTTATTTTTAGCTTGTCGCGCTCTTCCTTTCTACCCCAACCCCCATTCCCCTACCCTCTCCAGAAGCAGACCCCACTTTCCGGCTTCCGTTAGAGCAAAAACTAGCGTTCCACTCAGGGCAACATCCTGCAGCTCACGTAAGGGTGGAGGGGTGAAGTGTAGTGTAAGTGGTAGACAAGCAACTGGTTGACGCACGAGTGGTTTGGACCACGGAGCCCTTTAACTGCTCTTAATCACAGCCCGAGACTAAAGATGTCTCCCTCCACGTGCGCAACCCAAGTTGTAAGAGACCAGTTTGCAAAACCTTAAAACTTCAAACTCTCGGGCCCTCAACAGTTAGTAGCGGCCGAAGCTCTCGCTAGGGCTAGAGGCTACGGATAGCGCGTCCAAGGGCCACTGCGGGAAAAAGCTAGGCGGCTGCCGGCACACTCTCAGGGCATGCGGAGGCCGGCTGTAGCTGGCGGACACAATCGGGGACCTGCCAGGATATAACCGCTGTCCGGCCCCCGGCGAGCACACGTGCCACCGGCTCCCCAGAGCTGCCAACCATCCGGCAAGCCGCTCACACCTCCGCACCGGCCGAACGCCGGGTGCATATACCTGGGCGAAACGCCCCCCTGGCCCTTAATTACCGCAGGCGCACAAATCTGGGGCTTTTCCCCGGAGACGACGCCCAGGCTGACCACCAGTTAGTTGTAAGCAGCACTCGTCTGCGGAGTTTCAGAGTGGGCCCAGCCCGTTCCCGCCTCCATCCAGCACCCACCGCGCCGCCCCTCGGACTCGCCTGCCCTGGCCTCACCGGCACGCGGCGAGCATCCATGCCGGCTGGAAGCGGGCGCCCAGGCCGGCGCTGGGAGATGGGAGAGCGGAGCAGCTGCGCGCGCCGCGGTGCCATCAAGCGGGAGTAGCTGGAGCCGCGCGGGCAGCGGGCGGGGCTCGCCGACCTGGGCCCGTGGGGGTGGGGCCTGAGCCAGCTTTCCCGCGTTGGAAGGCAGGTCCTGAAAGCGGTGTTCACCGCCCGGCCCAACGCACTACCCGCTGGAGGGTCAGAAAAAACTCGTTCCCTCAGATATTCTGACTTCCAAGGATAGCCTTGGAAAATCCTAAAATCCACTTTGAAAACCTGCTCTTCGAGGGCTGCCAAGACCTTTCTCTCTATGCAGCTGCTCGGTCCTGGGCGAGTGGCGCGAAAATGGTTCGTATTGCCCCGGAGTTAGCAGACTGATTTGCATAAATTCCCCGCTGGGAGAAGGAGGGGAGTCGGGGGTGATGGAAAGCGGAGCGCGGGTGGACGCTCCCCGGCACTCAGCCCTTTCAGGGCTGCGTGCTGTTTACATTATTAAAAAAAAAAAATCATAGAATCCATCAGCTATTCCACTCTTCATTAACAAGTTCCCCTTCCCTCGAGGTAGCCCCTCTTATCTGGTAACCACACCTTTATCTAAAACAACAAAATGAGTTAAATCCTGATCTTTCTTTACAGAAAGCACGGGAAGACAACTTGTTTTACCTACGATTTGTGGTTTTTAAGGTATTAAAAAGCTGCTGTAGTTTGGTGAAGGCTTATCTACGGTATAAATAGATCTTCAGAGATTATCTGTCGGGCATAGAAGCTGAAGACAGAAGTCTTGTGGGTGGCGATCGTTTGTCCCTTTAGAATTTACTATTGCCTGAGTCAGAATGAATGAAAGATAGTTTTTATTGCTCTGTTAATCAGACTTGGCATTACAATGAAATAAGCAAGGCATGAGGCATGTGACCAAAATTATTGCTTTTAAAAGAAAAAGTGCAAGTAATTGGGTTGCTTTAAAAGACTTTGTAATCTTACTTGTAAAATAAGTTATTGAAATGAAAACATTCTCATTTGCCCCTCTATTTCAAAACTTTTCTCTCAGGAATAATTCCTTTATAGTAGGTAGTAAGACAGCATGAGTGGATGCACCGAGTTCCTTTGGATATTACTAATGCTAAAACTGAGAACAATGGATTGCAAGGAATCTTCTATTCCTTCTTAAACATACCTGTTCAGTGGTCACTGCCACTGTTCAAGGGACAAAGAATTCAGGCAGGGTCCGGGAGGTAGGCACCAGGAGGAGGTTCTTGGTCTGGTGAAATTACTGGCATTAGTAGGACCCTCTATAAATATTTGTTGAATGAATAAACAACTAAATGAACAATGAACTAGAACTGTCCTTAGCATCCTGGGGAATACAATTCTGTGCCACTAAAACTAAATATATGAAAATTTGGTATTGTCAAACACAAAAGTAGGGGAAGATTAAGTCACTTTGCCTGTGAAAGGTCTTGATAAGGAAATTCTTGGGCCTCCTGGAGCACTAGAAAATACTTGAGTTTGCATGTTTTTTTGAGGATAAGATCTCTGGTCTATCAGTCTTTTTAGTAATCAGGAAATGAAAATTAAAACAAGGCGATAACTTAGAGTGGCAAACATTAAAAAGCCTGATAAGACCAGGTGTTGGTTAGGGTATGAGAAATTCCCATAGTGATGTTACTAGCGTAAATGTTTAACTTTGGAGAACAATTCTGGAATACAGGCACTTTGCTGTGCTTTGTTTTATTGTGTGTGTGTGTG